GTGTGTGTGTGTGTGGGGGGGGGGGGGCGAGTGTGCGTGTGTGTGTGAGGGGGGGAGGGGGCCAACACGCGCGGATGCCTGCACAGGCAACCGGCGTGCATGCTGAAGTCGAGCCCCACGCAGCGCCCCGGCCGCTGCGTTCGGCAGTTCGGGCGCAGACCCAGCTCAACCCTGATCGCAACAGGATCAAGACGCGGCCGGCTCGCCCTGCAAACGCCACAGACAGGCGCTGGCCCCAATGTCCAGCTGCCACATGGGCTGAAATGTCAGCTGCTGCCCCCCCCCCCGACGCTGCGCAGCTGCCATGCGGCCAAAGAAGCCAGGCATCCATGCCATGACGCTGCCCAGTTTCCATGTGGACAGTGAACTCGTGGGAACCGTCATCCCACGATGCGATCGGTAGGAACGCACCTGTCTGCTGGCCACCAGGACGCACGCGGCGTAGGCGAGCTCACTCTTCCGGCCGCGCAGCACCTTGTTGTCGTGCACCTGTTTTGGTGGGGGGGGGGGGACGGTGATGTGTTGGGACAGCACAGTGTGACCGGAGGGACGCCGCAGAGGGCGAATCAACCGCCAGGGCCTGCGCCCGCCCGCCGGGGCTGGGTTTTTCGCCGGGCGTGGCTGCTGCAACCATTTCAACAAGCGCGGACGCATCGAAACCTGCTGGTCAGGGGCAGACGCTCGGCGCCGGCCGCCGCCCGCGCGGGGGGACACTCACGTTCTTGTAGATTTCGCAGGCGGCCGACTTGACAGCATCCGTCTGGTTGAGCTTCGAGCACATCTCCCCGATCCCCGCAAACGCCGACTTGAGCTGCCGCATCTGGTTGTTCTGCCGCATGTGCATCTTGTTCAGCGCGAACGATGCGCCGCCGTCGCCCTGGACGCGCCCGATGGTCGTGCCGAGGCCGCCGTCGTCTAGCAGGAGGTTGGTGGCGCCGCCGACGCGCGAGGGGTCGTCGCCCTCCTTGTCTTTGTCGCCGAAGGTGCGCCACTCGGAGCGCTCGTCGATGATGTGGTCTTCAACCACCAGGCCGCAGCCCTGGGGGTTGAGCGCGTTTTGCGTGTGACAGCGGGGTTTGGCCGGCGTCGGGCAAGGGGGGGCGGGGGGCGGGGAGGATGAGGCGGGCTGGGCGGCCCGCAGGCTTTCCTGGCGGCTTTGGTGCGGCCGCAGGCCGCCCTACTTCATGGTGATGGGTCCGACGCTACCGTATGCATCAAGCAGGGCGACATTGTGGGAATAACGGCGGCACAGCGAAGCCTGCACCGCGCGCCACGGCCGCTGCTCTGCATGCAAAAACGTCTGCTGCCAGGAGGCGCCACAAAGGCCGCCAGCCCACCTTGCACACAATGTCGCCCTCTGAGTGGACCTCCACCATGTCCTTGCCGCCGCAATTGGGGCAGGAGCGCTCCAAACGCGGCCCGACGCCCTCCGTCGCCATCGCCATTACTGCTGCTGCTGCGCAGGTGCACCGCGCCTTGCGGCCGCCCTGTCCAGGGTCACAGGGGTCTCTGCACCACCTCCTTGGATTTCTAGATAAGTTTGAAACACCACGGGGTCCACCCGGGCCCCGACGGGGCCTTAGAACGCGGATTGAGCGTGGGTCGATCAACCACAGGTGGTCTCAGAAGGCTGTACGATGATTCGGCGTGAACTGAGGTATTGCAAATGATATGGCTGCCGGACGCGCCCAGCTATTGCATGCAGCAGAAGCTACGGGACTCGGGCAGCTTGGTACAGTCATCCGAGGTCCCGCGCATGTTGCAAGCGCTGGATTGCTGATCAAAGCGATCTTAATCCTTTCCAATCGACAAGTCATCTGGTAGCATAGCACGTCGATCTGATCTGCAGCAAACCCAGCCTGCGACACCGGCCTCGATCGTCCCTGCAGCTGCGCTGAGTGGCGTGCCAAGCGCAGTGGCACCCCCCACAGCGGGCGACATGACCATAAAGTTCCTCCTGCTGGTCAACAAGCAGGGGCAGACACGCCTGGCCAAGTACTTCACAGAGCACCTGAGCGTAGAGGAGAAGCGGGCGCTGGAGGCGGAGATCGTGCGGAAATGCCTGGCGCGCACAGACAAGCAGGTGTGCGTGTGCAGGGGGCGTGCGTGTTGCTATGCACGTGCAGAGGTGGCGATACGCGCGACACAAGACAGACACGCTCGTGCCGCGACGCCACTGCTGCGTTGCGCGCTCTGAAGTGGTTGGTCGCCATGTCCGTGTCAATGCCATGTGGGCGTTGAAACGAAGCGTGCTGCGGGCTTTGGGTGTACAGCGTCGTCCGTCACAGCCGGGGCTGCGGCGCCGGCAGCACGCGCAGATCAGATCCCCGATCACGCATGCCCTAACCACTGTGTGTTCACGGCCCCTGCATCCTGCCTGCCCGCCGCCCGCGGCCCCGCTGCGCAGTGCTCGTTCTTTGAGCACCGCGCCTACAAGGTGGTGTACCGCCGCTACGCCAGCCTCTTCTTCATGGTCGGCGTGGACTCAGAAGAGGTGCGCTTTTTACTGGTCCGCAGCTCGCATCATCACCTGCGAGCAGCATTGACACGCCAGGAAACCAGCAGCAGCCGCAGCAGCAGCCGCAGCAGCAGCCGCAGCAGCAGCAGCAGCAGCAGCAGCAGCAGCAGCAGCCGCCGGGCTCTGGCGCTTCCCCGACCCCGAAATCAGCCCACCGATCCATCCCCCTTGCATCTGTTCACGCCATCACTTTGTCGACACAATGGCACACACACTCTGTCCAGAACGAGCTGGAGATGCTGGAGTTCATCCATTGCTTCGTGGAGGTGCTGGACAAGCACTTTGGCCAGGTCTGCGAGCTCGACATCATGGCAGACCCCGACGTGGTGAGCGCGCGTGCCGGCGGCCCCGACTGCCGACGCGCAGCGGCCGCCATGCCGCATTGCCTGCAGGGTGCGCCGCGGGCTCTGGTCGGGCTTTTCATGTCGCGGGGGCCTTGCGCCGGGGCAGGAGGCTTTCAGGGCTCCTCTGCATGCCTCTTGCAGAGCATCGGTACAGCGCATCGTCGCGTACGGTATCGCGGCATCGTGCGCGGCGCTCGCCGCCCTCAACACCGTCGCCGCCGCCGCCAGCAGCGGCGGCAGCAGCAGCAGCAGCCACGATCAGCACTTGCTGCCGTCGGGGGCCCTCACATAGCAGTCGGGGCCGCGGCAGCCGTGCAGCTCCTGCGCCGTCTGACCACCGCAGGCGCCCTCGGCCCCTCGCGCCAGCGAAAGCCGGCGCCCAACCGGCCCCCAGTTTCCGTATCCGGGCGCGTGC